ACCTGCAACAGGAGCACCGCGTCAGAACGTACGGGGGAGCCGAAAGGAGAGGCCACCACCACAGCTACCACCAACATGCATGCGTTCGTCTTAAGCAGTAAGCAATTAAGTGTAGGTCACAATGTCAGTTTTATTTTAGTCGGATAAACACAATTTTTGTTAAATAAGGTCGAAGTTCGTTCATAATATTGAAAAACAAAACCCTGGAAACACAACGACTGCAATGGTCTATAGTCTAAAAACTCAGATACACCACACGTAGCAACACGTAGCATCCAAAGCCCGCAGAGTCTTATTTGGGCCGTGCCGTGACTCGCGCGGTCGTCAGAACTGTGTGCAGACGGTCTGCCCTTGACCATTTGCACCACTGCGCGACTAAGCCTGGTTGGAGAGTACATGTGCAACAAAGCCAGTAAGAAGGTGACACATTAAAAGTTTTATTTTTTTCTGAAGAAATTACAATTTTATCGATTTTATCCGATGACAACTAATATTTCGCACGAACTAGCAAAAATATTACATACAGGATAAAACGAATGAGCCTTTTGTGACCATTTAACGAGAGTTAAACTGTTGAATTTCACAGAAACCACTACCAAAGAAACACTTATGAGTCAACAGTGGGCGGTGTGGTACCTCGAGAAGACGAAGGTAAGAAAACTGGGTTGGAAACGCTCCGTACAAATGCCAGACATGGCTCGTTAATACGGTAAATCTAGACATGGTGATCACGGTTAAACTTTTTTACGAATGCCACAAGTATATCAGTTCTCGCCAGCGTGGGTCCTTAGGTGTAAATTAAGGTTACTTTTCTGTCTAAACCCTTTGTTACACGAGTCGCACCTATATGGTTTCTCGCCGGTATGGGTCCTGACGTGAGCATCAAGGGAATGTTTCATGCTAAAACTCTTCTCGCAATCATTGCATTTATATGGTTTCTCGCCGGTGTGGGTCCTGACGTGGTACTCAAGGTGTTGTTTAAGGCTAAAACTCTTCTTGCAATCATTGCATCTGTATGGTTTCTCGCCAGTATGGGTCCGGACGTGAATATCAAGGTTAGATTTCTTGCTAAAACTCTTCTCGCACTCATTGCATTTATATGGTTTCTCGCCGGTGTGGGTCCTGACGTGAGCATCAAGGGAATGTTTCATCCTAAAAGTCTTCTCGCAATCATTGCATTT